CACTCACTAACTCACACACTCACCAACTCACTCACCAACACACTCACTAACTTACACACTCATCAACTCACTCACTCACCAACTCACTCACTCATCAACTCACTCACTCATTAACTCACTCATCAACTCACCGACTCACTCACCAACTCACTCACTAAATCACACACTTACCAACTCACTCACTCACTAACTCACACACTCACCAAGTCACTAACTCACACACTAACTCACACACTCACCAACTCACTCACTAACTCGCACACTCACCAACTCACTCACCAACACACTCACTAACTCACACACTCATCAACTCACTCACTCACCAACTCACTCACTCATCAACTCACTCACCAACTCACCAAATCACTCACTCACCAACTCACTCACTAACTCACACACTCACCAACTCACTCACTAACTCACTAACTCAAGACACTCACTAACTCACTCACTCACCAACTCACTCACTCACACTCACCAACTCACTCACCAACTCACACTAACTCACGCACTCACCAACCCACTCATACACTCACCAACTCACTCACTAACTCACTAATTCAGACACTAACTCACACACTCACCAACTCACTAACTCACACACTCACCAACTCACTAACTCACACACTCACCAACTCACACACTAACTCACACACTCACTAACTCACACACTCACCAACTCGCTCACTCACCAACTCACTCACCAAATCACTCACCACTGGTGTAACCATCAATCGCATCCGAACACCAACAGTAAGGCAAATGCGTACTTGTGGCGAACATGCAAACAAACATTAAGTGTGGTTATTGCAAACTTGATTCCTTGCAAAATGTTTATATTTGGTGTTTGAACATCTTAACACCTATTAGATTGCCAGAAAGGGTAAAAACCTTTAAATTGTTTTCGTAACTATGAGTGCATGTTGAACTTCATTAGCACCGTACGTAGGCAAGCGTGCTAATCGGAGATGCAGGGGGAAGGGGAACAAAAGAAACACAACAAGCGGTTCTAAAGAAATGCGTTTTCATTTTAGATTTGAAAATGCATAGGGGCCCGTCCATAAATGACGTCACGCACCTGGGGGGGGGGACAACACGTTCTACTTAATTAAATAGACTTTTTAATAAATGTTTTCTCCTACAACATCAGAGTGCAGCGCCACATTAAATACGCACTACAATGACAATAGTTTAAAGCGATTTGAAGCATGTTTTTTTTTGGGGGGGGCAGAGCTTTGTGACGTCATATTTGAGGGGGGGGTCTGCGACGTCATGTGACGAAAGAGGGGGGGGGTCAAAAATCGTCCAAAATCGCGTGACGTAATTTATGGACGGCCCCATAGCTCCCCAGCGACTTACTAATAATATCGGAAGGAAGAGCGTTCCAGACGGCCGCAGAAGCAGCGCGTCTCTGAATGTGCGCGACGCGAGCGACCGCCTTCGTTCGATAGGCGAGGCCGAAAGCCGCTGCGGAAAATTACAGAACGAGCGTGCAGGTCGGGAACACCCATGACATTTCACGCGGTCACGTGGGCATTGGGCACTCACTCGTCCTGATGAATTCTAAACAAAACCGGTCCGCAGTTGAGCTCGCAGCAACTGCTGCGTCACTGCTGCCCTGCCTGCCCGTCGGTAACAATTGCCCAAGGCCGTAATTATAATATATATTGGGGGGACATATCCCCCCTCCCAATATATATGTGTGTGTCTCCCCTCTCTAATCTCAAACATTACGTACAATGAAACTAAAACATTGGTAAAAGAGTAAAAACAGAGCAATGTAATACAATAACACTATTAGACGTAATTGTAAAAAAAAAAATTGAAATGAAAGTCCATTACCATGTGTTAGTGATTTTTTAAATATTATTTTTTAGGCAGGAAATGGCAGGAAATGAGTTTTCAAATTTAGATATTTTTTTTCTGGGTTGGGACCCCCAGACCCCCTGGAGAGATTTGGTCCCCCCTCCAATGTTGACTCCGTGGCCACGGCCTTGCATTTGCCCAATTTAGTTTTGACGGTCACCTCGAACAATAGGAGCGCCGTTCAAGTTCTTTGGGGGCACGTGCTGGTGCTTTTGCCGCACGTGCACAGGCGTTGCGCTTAAAGCTGCCACGCAGGTGCGTGAACAGGAATGCATATAGCTGCGAGACGCGGGACACACACAGACACACACAGACGAACACAATCCTAACACTGTGTACAGGTGCTGGGTTCTTGGCACCTGTGTTGGGTCCAAAGCCCCAGGTCCTGGGTGTCTGTACCGAGTTCTCCGTGTCCCGGGTTCCAGTGTGAGTGAGCAGGGGGGGGGGGGTGATCATGGCTGTGGTGTATCTGAGAACGCAGGCGGTGCAACTGCACCGGAGTTGGAGGGAGGGTCGGGTTAGGGGCCGTCCATAAATAACGCCACGCGATTTTGGAGAATTTTTGACCCCACCCCCCCCCCCCCAAAAGTCAGACCCCCCTCAAATATGACGTCACAAAGCTCTGCCCCCCCCCCAAAAAAAAAATACATGCTTCAATCGCTTTAAACTATTGTCATTGTGCGTATTTAATGTGACGCTGCACTATGAGCGTTAAAACAATTCTATATTTATTTAAAGTTGCGCATTTTGATGTGACGTCACATTTCTCAACCTCGTCACCTCATCGTCACAAATAGTCTGACTCCCCTAGGTGCGTGACGTCATTTATGGACGGCCCCTTACAAAGACAGGGGGCTCCGTTTAATTGCTTCTACCAAGCAACAAATCTCACCCATGCCATACCGCTGGGTGCAGTGGCAATCCACGTTGTGATCAGGGTGTCTCGATGACAGCGCTGGAGTGAAACACAGCCACGCTCAGACCGCGGACCTTTAAGCTGTGTGCTTTTGAGGAAGGTCAGCGTCTCGATGAGCTGTGACTTCTTGTCCCGTTGTCTGTTAAAAGCTCTAACAGATAGGTGAAAGCCCTCCCCGTAGAGGTTATCAATTCTAGATTTAAAGCTTTCGTGACTGCAAGGATCCATGTGTTGTGGCCGAAACGTCGTGATTTTTGGATCCTTGCAGTCACGAAAGCTTTACATCTAGAATTGAAAACCTCTACGGGGAGGGCTTTCACCTATCTATTAGAGCTTTTAACAGACAACGGGACAAGAAGTCACAGCTCATCGAGACGCTGACCTTCCTCAAAAGCACACAGCTTAAAGGTCCGCGGTCTGAGCGTGGCTGTGTTTCACTCCAGCGCTGTCCTCGAGACAGCCTGATCCCTTCACCTGATGAAGGCCGCTTGTGTTGTGGCCGAAAACGTCGTGATTTTTGTTGTTTTATTTTTTTACCTACGTGACTTTACCGAATAGAACCAAAAGAGTATGGATCCTCGCAGTCACATAAAGCTTTAGATCTAGAATAATCCACGTTGCGTGGACTACGTGCGTGTTGAACTTGTTCTCGCGTGGTTAAGCACCACGCGAGCGCCCTGATCGAGGTGGGTTCAGGAAGCTCTCGTGCCCAGGCAGTGGCGCGCAGGTCTCGAGGGAGCAGAAAAGTTTGGTCGTACATGATATGTGTTATCGTTTATTGTTAAATTTGAATCACAGTTCCTATGATCACCGTTACATTGTTTTTATAGCTTAATTTTTTGGCGATTTTGAGAAGTTTTGGTTAAGCCGTGTTTTTCATAATAAAGGTTTTTGGGTTAGATCGCGTTTATTTATAAATGTGTCGTAACCCTCCACCACCCGACACGGCCAATCAGCAAAAAAAAGTGTCACGTTGACAAAATACACTTTTTTTGCTGATTGGCCGTGTCGGGTGGTGGAGGGTTACGACACATTTATAAATAAACGCGATCTAACCCAAAAACCTTACTATGAATAATATTGGTCGCGAAAGCCTACGTGTTAAACTAAGCCGTGTTTGTTTGTTGTAGTACAGAGTTTGCGCGATGACTTTAATCTAAATTGTCTTGTGGTTGTTATTGTTTGAATTGCATCCCACTGGGAATTTTTGCACACAGCGTTGATATACGGTGCTCTTTATGGAAAACTTTGCTGTTTTTTTTCCTGGATTTTTCTGTTGCGTGGAGTCACTTTAAGATATTCTTGGTTCTATCGGTAAAGTCACCACGTAGAAGGGAAACAATAAAATAAGAAAATTTTAAAACAATAAAATTCTCACGACGTTTCGACTGCAACACAAGAATATGAATCCCTGCAGTCACGAAAGCTTTAAATTAAAATTTAACTGTAAGATGTTTTCTTGTTCATGGTTTTTGTTTGTTGCGGTTGCACCCGAGTCAAGAGCCGCATGGCTCACAGGGTTATCTATACTGTGCATATAAAAGGGAAACTTGTGATTATGTGTCTGTGTAAAATGTTTAGCGTACTTCCCGACATGCAACAAACTTGAAATCTCTACATATATAAAAGGGAAACTTGTGATTATGTGTCTGTGTAAAATGTTTAGCGTACTTCCCGACATGCAACAAACTTGAAATTTACCATGTGGGTACTTTCCAGACTGTACACCATGCAAACATTATCAAAATACACGGGGTTTTTTTTGGGGGGGGGGGGGAGCTCAATAATGCATATTTTTTTGCACGGGCAAGTGAGCTGTGACGTCAAATCTGCCACGTGACCCACGCACGTGGAAGAGTAACGCATTGTAGTGTAGTGGTTAGCGCTACGCCGCGCTACGAACCCGGCGACCCCGAGTTCGATTCCCGCTCACGGCCACCACCGGTGACGATTATTTGAACCGGTCCTGGGCCTCCCCTAGGTCGACTCAGCCTCAAACGAATAACTGGTGTGGTGTGAACATCGCCACTGGGGAGACAAAGGCGGCCGGGCGTGGTGAATCCAAGTCCCGGGCGAAGCCGGGTAGTAAAGCTAGTGCCTAATAAATGAAACTGAAACTGCACCGGGCCCCGTGCCGACCCCGCGACGCTGCCGGTTTCAGGGGGGGGGGGGGGGGGGGGGGGGGGGGGGGGGAATCCCTCCCGGCTCCGGGCGTGGAGTTCACCGCGCGTGGCCGGAACCAAAAACCTGACCCGGACACCGCGGAAACAGTTTACCGCCGCCGCCACTTCCGTGAAAACACTCCCATCAGACGTGAACAACAACAACAAAAAACCACGACGATAAGTTAGAAAGAAGAAACAACAACATTCGTACGAACGAATAGCGCGTCATATGCGCGTGTGTTCGCAAGATACGTTTTTATTAAAAAAAAAAATTCGGAACCAAAATCGCTTTACGGCTCGTTGAAAACTGCCGTACCGACCCCCCCTCCCCACCGGAGCGGAAGCACATGCCTCTCGCCTGGCGTCTCTCTCCACGTGCCTCTCGCCTGGCGTCTCTCTCCACGTGCGTCTCGCCTGGCGCCTCTCTCCACGTGCCTCTCGCCTGGCGCCTCTCTCCACGTGCCTCTCGCCTGGCGTCTCTCTCCACGTGCCTCTCGCCTGGCGCCTCTCTCCACGTGCGTCTCGCCTGGCGCTTCTCTCCACGTGCCACTCGCCTGGCGTCTCTCTCCACGTGCCTCTCGCCTGGCGCCTCTCTCCACGTGCCTCTCGCCTGGCGCCTCTCTCCACGTGCGTGTCGCCTGGCGTCTCTCTCCACGTGCCTCTCGCCTGACGTCTCTCTCCACGTGCCTCTCGCCTGGCGTCTCTCTCCACGTGCGTCTCGCCTGACGCCTCTCTCCACGTGCGTGTCGCCTGGCGCCTCTCTCCACGTGCCTCTCGCCTGGCGCCTCTCTCCACGTGCGTCTCGCCTGGCGATTCTCTCCACGTGCGTCTCGCCTGGCGCCTCTCTCCACGTGCCCTCGCCTGGCGCCTCTCTCCACGTGCCCTCGCCTGGCGCCTCTCTCCACGTGCGTGTCGCCTGACGCCTCTCTCCACGTGCGTCTCGCCTGGTGATTCTCTCCACGTGCCCTCGCCTGACGTCTTCTCCACGTGCGTCTCGCCTGGCGCCTCTCTCCACGTGCCTCTCGCCTGGCGCCTCTCTCCACGTGCCTCTCGCCTGGCGCCTCTCTCCACGTGCCTCTCGCCTGGCGCCTCTCTCCACGTGCGTCTCGCCTGGCGCCTCTCTCCACGTGCGTCTCGCCTGGCGCCTCTCTCCACGTGCGTCTCGCCTGGCGTCTCTCTCCACGTGCGTCTCGCCTGGCGTCTCTCTCCACGTGCGTCTCGCCTGGCGCCTCTCTCCACGTGCCTCTCGCCTGGCGTCTCTCTCCACGTGCGTCTCGCCTGGTGCTTCTCTCCACGTGCGTCTTGCCTGGCGTCTCTCTCCACGTGCCCTCGCCTGACGCCTCTCTCCACGTGCCTCTCGCCTGGCGTCTCTCTCCACGTGCCCTCGCCTGGCGCCTCTCTCCACGTGCGTCTCGCCTGGTGCTTCTCTCCACGTGCGTCTTGCCTGGTGATTCTCTCCACGTGCGTCTCGCCTGGCGATTCTCTCCACGTGCGTCTCCCCCCCTCACCGGCGTGTTAGGCGCCGGCCGAATGGGGGAAGCGGCCACGACGCTTGAAGCCACCGCGACTCGCCTCGAGACTCGCACGGACGAGGAGGCGGACGAGCTGCCCGGGTTCTACTGCGAGATCCGTAGCGGGAGTCGAACCGCCCACTTGGTGCTGAGGTACTCGGCATGCTCCACACGCGCACACACACAGACGCACACACATAGACGCACTAACACATAGACGCACACACACACATAGACGCACTAACACATAGACGCACACACACACACACATAGACGCACACACACACATAGACGCACTAACACATAGACGCACACACACACACATAGACGCACACACACATAGACGCACTAACACATAGACGCACACACACATAGACGCACACACACATAGACGCACTAACACATAGACGCACACACACACACATAGACGCACACACACACATAGACGCACACACACACATAGACGCACTAACCATAGATGCACACACACACATAGACGCACACACACACATAGACGCACACACACACATAGACGCACACACACACATAGAAGCACACAGACGCACGCACACACACAGACGCACACACACACACACAGACGCACACACACAGACGCACACACACACATATACGCACACACACACATATACGCACACACGCACACACACACACAGACGCACACACACACAGACGCGCACACACACACAGACGCACACACACAGACGCACGCACACACACACACACATTCGCACACACACAGACACAGAGACGCACACACACACAGACGAACGCGCACACGCACACACATAGACGCACACACACATAGACGCACACACACACATAGACGCACACACACACATAGACGCACACACACACATAGAAGCACACAGACGCACACAAACACACACAGACGCACACACACACATATACGCACACACGCACACACACACACATATACGCACACACACAGACGCACACACACACACACAGACGCGCACACACAGACGCACACACACAGAGACGCACACACAGAGACGCACACACACAGACACACACACACATTCGCACACACACAGACACACACAGAGACGCACACACAGAGACGCACACACACAGACACACACACACACGCACACACACACACGCACACACATAGACGCACACAAAGACAAAGATCCCCCGTATAGCCTTAACAGACTGTAGGGGCAAGTGCTGTTAGCGAGCACCTATGAAGGCCAGAACGGTACACGAGGGGGTGGGTGGCCAGCACCACGCCCGACCGCCTTTGTCTCCCCAGTGGCAATGTTTACACACCGCACCAGGTACTCATTTGAGGCTGAGTCGACCTAGGGGAAGCCCGGGACCGGTTCAGAAAATCGTCACTGGTGTTGGCCGTGAGCGGGAATCAAACCCGGGTCGCCAGGTTCATAGCGCAGCGCGCTAACCGCTACACTATCGCTCCCCACACACAGACACACACACACAGACACACACACACACATATATACACACACACACATATACACACAGACACACAGACAGACACACACACACATATACACACAGACACACACAGACACACACACAGACACACACAGACACACACACAGACACACACACACACACACAGACACACACACAGACACACACAGACACACACACACAGACACACACAGACATACACACACACAGACACACAAACACACGCGGCGCGTCCCGGCGTTGTCGTCACCTCGCAGTCTCCGCGTCGCCGCGTGCAGGGACGTGCGCACCGAGGGCCCCGTGCTCGTCGAGGCCTCCCGCGTGACCGTGCGCGCCGGCGCCCGCGACCTCCTCGTCACCCTCCCGCCGGGCGTCACCGCCGACCCCGGGGCCACCGGCAGCGTCCGCCGGGTCCCCGAAGACGGCACGCACGTGAGCCTGCGGCTCCACGCGCCGCGGAGCCTCTTCGCCGCAGGTCCGCCACGGGGTGGGGGGGGTCGCGTGACGAGGTGCCGCACGCCTCTCCGGCTTGCGACGAGGTGAAGGCGGCGTGGCGAAGTTGGGGACTAATATCAGCTGTCCCTTGCGGACACGATATAACCCGTGCGGAACAGGGGAGCAACATGCAAACTCCATGCCCCCAAGTCGGCAATCGAGGAACAGTTGTTACCGTTGCGTTGCAACCCGGCCACACGTAATAACCGAGAGTGATGATGGTGATGACGGCGATGATGATGATGGTGGTGATGATGACAGGAATATGCCTACGTGTTAAACAGGACGATGTCTTTGTCCGTGTCCAGTCTCGAATGCCCGACCCGTGGTGCAGCAGATCCGCGAGCAGCCGACTCCGCGCTTCTCATGCCAAGCGTGTGGAGCGTCACTGCTGCGACCTGGAGCGTAAGGGTTAGACTCTCGCATAGACCCGCACCGAGACTCACGTAGACCCGCACAGAGACCCAGAGACTTACGTAGACCCGCACTGAGACTCACATAGACCAACACTGAGACCCAGAGACTCACGTAGACCCGCACCTCGACCCAGAGACTCACATAGACCCGCACTGCTACTTAGAGACTAACATAGTTTAAGTTTATTTTGTTTGACCAGGTGAAGATCCAAGGGACCAGAATGAGCCTCATTTGTGTAACCTTTCGATTTGGTCAAGTTTCGACCAAGACGTCGGTACACAATGGCCTACTGTTGCCACCGCTGTCGGGAGATCTTTAACGTCCCCTGTGCCTCACCCTTTTCGCCACCCGTGTACCCTCCTTGCCGGCACCAGGCCGTTCCGGCGGGTGCTGCCGCTGCCCTCATGCCACTGGCAGGCGATGGTGAGCGAGTGGTGTTGCCACGGCGGGGGCGCCCGCGTGGACTCGCTGGCACGCACCCCGCTGGGCCCCCGTGCAAGCGACTGCCTCGTGGGCGACACGCACCTCGTGCTGCACGCTGGCAGCCTGGGAACGGCGGTACGAGTCGCTCGCTTGCAGGCACGCTCGTTGGCTCGCTCGCTCGATCAATTGCTCATTCAGTCGCTCGCCAACTCGCTCGCTCACTCGCTCGTTGGCTCGCACGCTCACTCACTCACTCGTTTGCTTGCATGCTCACCCCTTCGCTCCCATCACTCACTGATTCACCTTGCTCGTTTGCTCACTTGCTAACTCGCTCGCTCACGCGCTCGCCCGCTCCCCCGCTCTCTCGCTCATTCGCTCGCTATCCACTCGCCCCCCGCCTCTGCCAGGTTCGGTGGCACCACGACGTCGCTTCGGAAGTCGCAGCGCCGGACTCCGACCGCGGCGCCCGTCCCGCGGCCCCGCCTGAGAGCGGCGACCTCTGCCGCCACCGCCGCGCCGGCGCTTCGCCGGGAACCGCGGTCCCCCAGCGCGGGGCGACCGGCGCGGGGGGCGCCGGAGAGGGAGAGGGGCGGCACGCGGAGGGTCGGAGGTCGCCGTCGCCGCCGCCGCCGCCGCCGCCGCTGGGCAAGGCCAAGGCCGAGTTGCGGTGCGAGCAGTGCGGCCGTGTGCTCGGGGAGGCGCTGGGAGCAGGTGAGACGTACAACGTTTCAGGCAATGGCCCTTGTTCAGACGAAAACCTAACACGTGTGTGTGTGTGTTGACGTACACGTATCTGCGTTTTTACTTTTTATCGTAGCAGGTAAGGGGCCCACTGTGCTCGATGGTTATTTTTCGGAAGCGACCTGGCCACGAATGTCAGCTCAACGAAGCGGCTCATTGTCACGTGGAAACTTACAGCAGCCGAATGCTCTAGACGCGTGCTTCTAAACCTCTCGTGGGCCTTCGTGAGGTTCGACGACGATGATGACGACGATGATGACGACGAGGACGGTGACGTTGTCCCCACCGATGGTTGTGTCGCACCGCAGAAGCCGTCAAGTTGTTCCTCACCGAGGTGTGCGTTGGAGGAGTTGAGGAGACGGCGCCGCCACCGCCGCCTCCGCACTCTGCCAACCCGAGGTGACCGCTCCTCGCGAGCCCCCCGCAAGAACGCGAGAATGTGCGTGCGTGTGTGTGTGTGTGTGTGCGTGTGTGTGCGTGCGTGTGTGTGTGTGTGTGTGCGTGTGTGTGCGTGCGTGTGTGTGTGTGTGTGTGCGTGTGTGTGTGTGCGTGTGTGTGTGTGTGTGTGCGTGTGTGTGCGTGTGTGTGTGTGTGTGCGTGCGTGTGTGTGTGTGCGTGTGTGTGTGTGTGCGTGTGTGTGTGTGCGTGCGTGTGTGTGTGGGTGTGTGTGTGCGTGTGTGTGTGTGTGTGTGCGTGTGTGTGTGTCTCTGTGTGTGTGTGGGGAGCGGCGGTGAAGCGGTTAGCGCGTTGCGCTATGAACCCGGCGACCCGGGTTCGATTCCCGCTCACGGCCGATACCAGTGACGATTACCTGAACCGGTTCTGGCGCTCCCCTAGGTCGACTCAGCCTCAAATGAGTACCTGGTGCGGTGTGTAAACATTGTCACTGTGGGAGACAAAGGCGGCCGGGCGTGGTGCTGGCCACCCACCCCCTCATCTGCCGTACCGGCCTTCATTGGTGCTCGCTAACAGCACTTGCCCCAACAGTCTGTTAAGGCTATACGGGGGATATTTGTCTTTTTTTGGCGTGTGACTGGAGCGGCGGTGCAGTGGTTAGCGCACTGCGCTGCTAACCTGCTCGCGGCCAACGCCAGTGACGAATATCCAAATCGGCCTTCAGCCTTCTCCTGGGTCGACCCTCCATCAAATAAGTAAATATCAGCACCGGTGGAGACGAACGTGGCCGGAGTGATGCCGGCCACACCGGCCCCCATCTAGAGCCAGCGGCCGGCCCTTCATAGGTGCTCGCTAACAGCACTTGCCCTAACATGCTAAAGGCTACACGGTGTGGGGGTGGGTGGGTGGGTGGGCTATCTTTGTCTTGGCGTGGTCGGTTGCAGGTCGTGGTTCCTGGAGCGGCTGCTGTCCCAGCAGCTGCTGCTCATCTCCACGACGCTGTGCAGCTACCGCTTCCGCGTCGAGGACCCGCGGGGCGGCACGAGACTGCTGGTGAGCCCGGCGAAGGGTGAAGCCGCCGGGCGGAATACCGCACGACGGGAGGACCGGTTCAGAATCGGAATCGCGACGTTTCATTTCCCCCCCCCCCCCCCCCCCCCCCCGGAGATGTCCGATGAGCTGAGGGACAATTTTTTTTTTCTCTTCACGGATGTCCAGTAGGGGTGGGTGGCTCCAGAGGGTTACAACAACAAACTACATTTAAGCAAACGATCGGAGTGCAAAGTAGAGGAGGGAATAAGCGAATAGAAAAATCGTGTAAACATTTTGGCAAAGTTCCAGTTGTGTGTTCGTAACACAAACTGGCTGCATTTTTTTTATCAATCCGCTGCTGGATGATGGACTCACCGTGTCGGCCGTCGGGCTTCATTTCATTGACCACACTTCACCACGCTGGTCAGCGCGGGTCGGTGAACCGCCGGTGATTTTACTTTGCTTGCGATTACGATGATCGATTTTTATGGTTTCCTATTTGTGCCTTTGTCGCTTATCGGCCCGCTACAAAAAAATAGAATTGGCTTCCATGGTAGGAGTGACAGAGCAGTCTCGCGCGCAAGTGTTCCACGTTGCGAGTGTTCTATGTTGCGAGTGTTCCACGTTGCGAGTGTTCTATGTTGCGAGTGTTCCGTGTTGCGAGTGTTCTATGTTGCGAGTGTTCCACGTTGCGAGTGTTCTATGTTGCGAGTGTTCCGTGTTGCGAGTGTTCTATGTTGCGAGTGTTCCACGTTGCGAGTGTTCCGTGTTGCAAGTGTTCCGTGTTGCGAGTGTTCCATGTTGCGAGTGTTCCGTGTTGCGAGTGTTCCGTGTTGCGAGTGTTCCGTGTTGCGAGTGTTCTGTGTTGCGAGTGTTCCGTGTTGCAAGTGTTCCGTGTTGCGAGTGTTCCGTGTTGCGAGTGTTCCGTGTTGCGAGTGTTCCGTGTTGCGAGTGTTTCACGTTGCGAGTGTTCCGTGTTGCGAGTGTTCCGTGTTGCGAGTGTTCTGTGTTGCGAGTGTTCCGTGTTGCGAGTGTTCCGTGTTGCGAGTGTTCCGTGTTGCGAGTGTTCTGTGTTGCGAGTGTTCCACGTCGCGAGTGTTCCGTGTTGCGAGTGTTCTGTGTTGCGAGTGTTCCGTGTTGCGAGTGTTCCACGTTGCGAGTGTTCCACGTTGCGAGTGTTCCGTGTTGCGAGTGTTCCGTGTTGCGAGTGTTCCGTGTTGCGAGTGTTCCGTGTTGCGAGTGTTCCGTGTTGCGAGTGTTCCGTGTTGCGAGTGTTCCGTGTTGCGAGTGTTCCGTGTTGCGAGTGTTCCGTGTTGCGAGTGTTTCACGTTGCGAGTGTTCCGTGTTGCGAGTGTTCCGTGTTGCGAGTGTTCTGTGTTGCGAGTGTTCTGTGTTGCGAGTGTTCCGTGTTGCGAGTGTTCCATGTTGCGAGTGTTCCGTGTTGCGAGTGTTCCGTGTTGCGAGTGTTCTGTGTTGCGAGTGTTCCACGTTGCGAGTGTTCCGTGTTGCGAGTGTTCTGTGTTGCGAGTGTTCCGTGTTGCGAGTGTTCCACGTTGCGAGTGTTCCACGTTGCGAGTGTTCCGTGTTGCGAGTGTTCCGTGTTGCGAGTGTTCCGTGTTGCGAGTGTTCCGTGTTGCGTGTGTTCCGTGTTGCGAGTGTTCCGTGTTGCGAGTGTTCCGTGTTGCGAGTGTTCCGTGTTGCGAGTGTTCCGTGTTGCGAGTGTTCCGTGTTGCGAGTGTTCCGTGTTGCGAGTGTTCTGTGTTGCGAGTGTTCTGTGTTGCGAGTGTTCCACGTTGCGAGTGTTCCGTGTTGCGAGTGTTCTGTGTTGCGAGTGTTCCGTGTTGCGAGTGTTCCGTGTTGCGAGTGTTCCGTGTTGCGAGTGTTCCGTGTTGCGAGTGTTCCACGTTGCGAGTGTTCCGTGTTGCGAGTGTTCCGTGTTGCGAGTGTTCCGTGTTGCGAGTGTTCCGTGTTGCGAGTGTTCCGTGTTGCGAGTATTCCGCGAGTATTCCACGTTGCGAGTGTTCTGTGTTGCGAGTGTTCTGTGTTGCGAGTGTTCCACGTTGCGAGTGTTCCATGTTGCGAGTGTTCCGTGTTGCGAGTGTTCCGTGTTGCGAGTGTTCCGTGTTGCGAGTGTTCCGTGTTGCGAGTGTTCCGTGTTGCGAGTGTTCTGTGTTGCGAGTGTTCTGTGTTGCGAGTGTTCTGTGTTGCGAGTGTTCCGTGTTGCGAGTGTTCCGTGTTGCGAGTGTTCTGTGTTGCGAGTGTTCCACGTTGCGAGTGTTCCGCGTTGCGAGTGTTCCGTGTTGCGAGTGTTCCGTGTTGCGAGTGTTCCGTGTTGCGAGTGTTCCGTGTTGCGAGTGTTCCGTGTTGCGAGTGTTCTGTGTTGCGAGTGTTCTGTGTTGCGAGTGTTCTGTGTTGCGAGTGTTCCGTGTTGCGAGTGTTCCGTGTTGCGAGTGTTTCACGTTGCGAGTGTTTCGCGCGCGAGTGTTCTGTGTTGCGAGTGTTCCACGTTGCGAGTGTTCCGTGTTGCGAGTGTTCCGTGTTGCGAGTGTTCCGTGTTGCGAGTGTTCCGTGTTGCGAGTGTTCCGTGTTGCGAGTGTTCCGTGTTGCGAGTGTTCCACGTTGCGAGTGTTCCGTGTTGCGAGTGTTCCACGTTGAGAGTGTTCCGTGTTGCGAGTGTCCCACGTTGCGAGTGTTCCGTGTTGCGAGTGTTCCGTGTTGCGAGTGTTCCGTGTTGCGAGTGTTCCGTGTTGCGAGTGTTCTGTGTTGCGAGAGTTCCGTGTTGCGAGTGTTCTGTGTTGCGAGTGTTCCGTGTTGCGAGTGTTTCACGTTGCGAGTGTTCTGTGTTGCGAGTGTTCCATGTTGCGCGTGTTCCACGTTGCGAGTGTTCCGTGTTGCGAGTGTTCCGTGTTGCGAGTGTTCCGTGTTGCGAGTGTTCCGTGTTGCGAGTGTTCCGTGTTGCGAGTGTTCCGCGTTGCGAGTGTTCCGCGTTGCGAGTGTTCCGCGTTGCGAGTGTTCCGCGTTGCGAGTGTTCCGCGTTGCGAGTGTTCCGCGTTGCGAGTGTTCCGTGTTGCGAGTGTTCCGCGTTGCGAGTGTTCCGCGTTGCGAGTGTTCCGCGTTGCGCGTGTTCCGCGTTGCGAGTGTTCCGCTTTGCGAGTGTTCCACGTTGCGAGTGTTCCACGTTGCGAGTGTTCCACGTTGCGAGTGTTCCGTGTTGCGAGTGTTCCATGTTGCGAGTGTTCCGTGTTGCGAGTGTTCCACGTTGCGAGTGTTCCGTGTTGCGAGTGTTCCGTGTTACGAGTGTTCCGTGTTGCGAGTGTTACATGCATGTGTGCATCTCCGTACGCAAGTCACCACCATCGTTCTTCTTGCATAGACGATGTAGGGCAACCACCACAGATCCAATTATTGACTTGAAGCTTTCGTGACTGCAGGAATTCGTATTCTTTGGGTCTTTGGGGTAAAGTCACGCAGAACAGATCCAGTTGTGAGCGGTTCAGCTGTGCAGTTTTGCTTGACCTAAGAGTTGGTGGATTTGCAGATTTGGCCACCCACCGTCTCACCAACTCACCCACCCACTTACCAAACTCAATTACCCACTCAACCAGCCACTCACCATCTCACCGACCCTCTCATCAACCGACCTGCCCGCTCGCCGGCCTGGTTCCGGATCTCGGCGTCGGGACACGGGACGGCGAGTGGGGGGGGGACGTCGCCGATCTGCCGGTTAGGGGCCGGCTTCCGACCGGTGCGGTCTCACCGGTGCGCGTTGCAGCATCGCGGCCAATTATCCGGCGAGTCGTCACCGTCGTGTTGCTGGCTCCCCCCCCCCCAATCCCTTCTGCCCCCCACCTCCCCCCCCCCAGCTGTGGGTGCTCAACAGCGACACGCTGCTGCTGCAGAGGCCCCGTGGCGGCGGCGGCGGTGAGGCCGCGGCGCCGCGTTGCCACCGCGTCCTCAAGCTGCTCTACCGCCACGCGGGAGGAGACTCGGCCACCTCAGCAAGCCGGTAGGTGGCAGGGCCCTGTGCCGGTGGGTGGCAGGGCCCTGTGCCGTCGTTCGTAACGCCTAGTGACAAGTGCGATGGTCCACATTTTGCCGAATTAGCTGAAACAAATGCCACCGCACATTGGGATGACACGCAACGAGCAATCGTCGGCCCCGTGGCTGCGGAAACTTTGGGCCGGACCCTCCTGGGAGTTGGGAGTTTAAAAAAAAAAAAATAACTCGGCGAGGCTCGTATTCAAAACCTAGACTTTCCTGGCTAAACAAGCAGAATAATAAATAATAACAATAACACACCCCCACCACCACCACCAGCACCAGCACCACCACGCACAGCTCGGCGCTCGCGGTCCCCCCCGTGCCTCCACCCCTCCTTCGCCTGCCCCTTGTTGACGAATCGCCGTTGTGCACGGAGCGGCGGGAGCCGTGCTGTGCGCCGTTGGAGGAGTCGGCCGCGGGGTTATTTTTCCGCGCCCTTTCGTTTTCCGCTCGCTCGCTCGCTCCTTCGCCAGCTTGGCGGCGAGCGAATGAGCGAGTGCTCCAGTCCCACCGCTCCGCTCGTCTGACCTTTAGCGTCTTGCCCGTCTGTTATCGTCTCCGTCCGTCTTGAAGGGACGGCACAGTAAACAACGTTCTCCGAGCGACCGTTAAAGCTGACGTTGGTCGGCGTGTGTGTGTGTGCGTGCGCGCGCGCGTGCGTATAAACATCAGCCACTGGGGAGACAAAGGCGGCCGGGCGCGCGGTGCTGACCACCCACCCCGTCGTGTGCCGCTCCAGCCTTCATCGGTGCTCACCAACGGCACTTGCCCCAACAGTTTGTGAAGGCTTTACGGGAGGTCTTTGTCTTTCTGCGTGCGGGCAGCGGTGGTGTCGCGGTTAGCGCGCTGCGCTGCAAACCCGGCAAAAAACCCGGGCATCGGTTCCCCCCCGCGGCCACCACCAACACCGGTGACGATTATCTGAACTGGTTCTGGGCTTCCCGTACATCGACTCGGCCTGAAATGAGCGTGAGTGTGTGTGGGGAGCGGTAGCGTAGCGGTTGGCCGCGCTGCGAACCAGGCGGCCCGAGTTCGACTCCCGCCACGGCCAACACCGCTGACGATTATCTGAACCGGTCCTGTGCCTCACCTAGGTCGACTCAGCCTCAAATGAGTACCTGGGTGCGGTGCGTAAACATCGCCACTGGGGAGACAAAGGCGGCCGGGCGTGGTGCTGGCCACCCACCCCCCACGTGTGTCGTTACCGGTCTTCATAGGGTGCTCGCGAACAGCACTTGCCCCAACAGTCTGTTTAAGGCCACACCTGTGAGGGATGTTTGTGTGTGTGTGTAGTCTGGCCGTGTGTGTGTATGTAGTGTACGTACGTTGTCAGCAGAGGGCAGCGCAGAAAATAATTTCCTTATGCTGCTTAATTGATGCTCCCCTCCATCTGCCACCGTCAGTGCCCAGCGTGGTGAAGACGTGTCGTCACACAACCTCATCCGGTAGTGGATTGGCAAATGGCCTCTACATTTACGCATGCACACGTGATATCATCATCATCATCGTTATTATCATAACGCTTATTTGCCCTGAAAGCAAAAGCCTCGCTGAGTCTCAAGACTCTTTTTCAGGAGGGTCCTGCCGGGGTATTCGCAGCAGGAGACCGATGTTGCTGCTGCTGCTGCTGTGTGATCCCCAGTTTGGGGTGCTTTGGCCGATACCGGTTCCATCGTTGGTTGCTTTGCTGCTGTTGTAATCTGTGGGAGGAAATCGGAGAATCCGAGAGAAACCCACGCACAACGGGGAGAGGGAGAGAGCGCACAGACTCCGCACGGGTGTCGTCTTGTGGGATCTAGTGTGGCGAGATGTTACCTACCTCGCCTGACGTGCGGGAGGTCGTGGGTTTGATCCTGACCGTGATGCCTGTGTGTTTGGAGTTTGGATTGGATGTCTCTGTCTCTCTACCCCCCCCCCCATGGTCACGTGGGTTTCTATCCGGGCCCTCCGTTTTTTTCCCCTCCACATTTAGAATCGACACGTGTTTTAGAGTATTTCGCTGCTATACATTTCCGCGTGATAAGCAACTTCGTTGAGCTATCCATTTGTGATCGCCAGGTCGCTTCTGAAACAATAGCTACACTGCTCAGTGAGCCTTGCCTGGTTCAATAAAAAAAAAGTTTAGTTTTCGTTCAGTTCAAGTTCCACGGTTTGGTTCCGGCTCTGTTCGGCAAACAGGCCCGGTGGAACATAAACAAGCCTCGGATGTGCCAGTGGAAAAAGAAGCGCGTGTTTTTATCCCTGAGTATTGCGTTGCTTCTCTTTCACTGTTCGGGCTGCGAATCGAACCGGCGTCCCAGTGCGAGTTTGCTCAACGTGTGCCTGCGTGCGTCCCCCGCCGTGTCTCTCCGCTAGCGTAGCGGTTCGCGCGCTGCGCTACGAACCCGGCGACCCGAGTTCAATTCCCGCTCACGGCCACCATTATCTGAACCGGTCCTGCGCCTCCCCTAGGTCGACTCGGCCTCAAACGAGTACCGGGTGCGGTGTGCAGTAAACATCGCCACTGGGGAGACAAAGGCGGCCGGGCGTGGTGCTGGCCACCCCACCCCCCCCCCCCCCGTCGTGTGCCGTGCCGGCCTTCGCAGGTGCTGCTCGCTAACAGCACTTGCCCCAAACGGTGATTTGAGGCTATCTTTGTCTCTGCTGGTGGCCCCTCCGTGTGTCTCTGCGTGTCCCAGCGAGGACGAGCTGTGGGCGAGGGACGTGAAGGCCCACGACCTGTGCCTGCCCAGCGGTGCGTGCACCGAGCTCTCCGCCGTGCTAAGCGCCAGCTCCCAGCTCGCTCCGCCCTCGCTCCGGGACGTCAACCACTTCCGGGTGAGGATGATCGCTCTCCCCCGCGCCTCCTCCTTCTCCTCCTCTTCCGCTCTCCTCCAGCTCCCGTGGCTATTCTTCTCGAGCTCCCGTGCCTCCTCTGCTTCCCGTGTCCTCCTCTCCTTTAGCTCCCGTGTCTCCTCCAGCTCCCGTGTCTCCTCTCCTCTCTGCTTCCCGTGTCTCCTCTCCTCTAGCTCCCGTGCCGCCTCCAATTCTCATCCGGCGGGAATGACAACGAAATAATAATAATAAAAGTAGTAGTAAAATTATGAACTCCACGGCCGTCAAGACAATGAAAGCGATAACTCCTCAGCCGATAATGCAGCCGCTCTCCCCTCGCCCCCCCCCCCCCCCCCCCCCCCCCCCCCCCCACATTGCGTTCATGCGAAAATAATGAGCATTTAGCGTTCGTGTGCATGCGTGTGTAGCGGTCCGCGCGCCGCGCTACGAACCCGGCGGCCCCGAATTCGATTCCCGCTCACGGCCAACGCCGGTGACGGATCATCTGAATCGATCCCGGGCCTCCGCTAGGTCGACTCGGCCTCGAACGAGTTGCCTGTTGCGGTGTGCAGTAAACGTCGCCACTTGGGGAGGCGAAGGCGGCCGGGCGTGGTTCTGAACGCACCGCTCCCTTGGTGTGCCGTGCCGGCCTTCATCGGCGCTCGCTGGCGGCGCTCGCTAGCGGCGCTTGCGTTCCGCTAACGCGGCTATGCGGGCCGGGCATCTCCCTCCGCCTGAGCGCGTGCACAATTTCATTTTTTTCGATGGAGGCGAAGCGATGTTGAGACATTAATCACACGTCCCTCCGGTTCTATCGCTCCGCGGGGAGCGGGGGGGGGTGGCGGGGGTGGGGGGGTGGCGGTGTGCAGGCGACACAGACCCTAGGGTCCAATCGCCCCGTATGATGACAGATCTAGGCACTTGTTTTGTGGCCGAGTCGACCTAGGGGAAGCACAGGACCAGTGTGCGGACAACGCTCGCCGCTCATGTTGAGCCGCCGGGTTTGTTCAAAGGGCCGTGCGGTAACCGCTGCGACACCGCTCCCCTCGTAGACACAATGTGCGCTCGCACGCAAGTAGTGTGCACCACGCACACACTCGCATAAAGCACACGCGCACACACACGACCTCCGTAGTGTACAACTACAGGTGATATCGGCTGGTCCATGGGTGGCTGGGCGAGTGGCTGGCTGGCTGGGTCTGTGAGTGGCTGTGGGTATGTGGTTCGGTGGGCAGGTTGCTGGGTGGGTAAGTGTCTGGGTTGGTGTGTAGGTGTCTGGGTGGGTGTCTAGGTGGGTGGGTGTGTAGGTGGGTAGGTGGGTGGGTGGGTAGGTGGGTGGGTGTGTGGGTGGGTGTCTGGGTGGGTGTGTAGATGTCTAGGTGGGTGGGTGTGTAGGTGTCTGGGTGGATAGGTGTCTGGGTGGGTGTGTAGGTGTCTGGGTGGGTGGGTGTCTGGGTTGGTGTGTAGGTGTCTGGGTTGGTGTGTAGGTGTCTGGGTGGGTGGGTGTCTGGGTGGGTGTGTAGGTGTCTGGGTGGGTGGGTGTCTGGGTTGGTGTGTAGGTGTCTGGGTTGGTGGGTGGGTGTCTGGGTGGGTGTTTAGGTGTCTGGGTGGGTGGGTGTTTGGGTGGGTGTGTGGGTGTCTGGGTCGGTGTGTAGATGTCTAGGTGGGTGGGTGTGTAGGTGTCTGCGTGGGTAGGTGTCTGGGTGGGTGTCTGGGTTGGTGTGTAGATGTCTAGGTGGGTGGGTGTCTGGGTGGGTGTCTGGGTGGGTGTGTAGGTGTCTGGGTGGGTGGGTGTCTGGGTGGGTGTGTAGGTGTCTGGGTGGGTGGGTGTCTGGGTGGGTGTGTAGGTGTCTGGATGGATGGGTGGGTGTCTGGATTGGTGGGTGTGTAGGTGTCTGCGTGGGTAGGTGTCTGGGTGGGTGTCTGGGTTGGTGTGTAGGTGTCTAGGGGGGTGGGGGTCTGGGTGGGTGGGTGTCTGGGTGGGTGTGTAGGTGTCTGGGTGGGTGGGTGTCTGGGTGGGTGTGTAGGTGTCTGGGTGGGTGTGTAGGTGTCTGGGTGGGTGTCTGGGTGGGTGTGTAGGTGTCTGGGTGGATGGGTGGGTGTCTGGGTTGGTGGGTGGGTGTCTGGGTGGGTGTGTAGGTGTCTGGGTGGGTGGGTGTCTGGGTGGGTGGGTGTGTGGGTGTCTGGGTGGGTGTGTAGATATCTAGGTGGGTGGGTGTGTAGGTGTCTGCGTGGGTGGGTGTCTGGGTTGGTGTGTAGGTGTCTGCATGGGTAGGTGTCTGGGTTGGTGTGTGAGTGTCTGGGTGGGTGGGTGTCTGGGTGGGTGTGTAGATGTCTAGGTGGGTGGGTGTGTAGGTGTCTGGGTGGGTAGGTGTCTGGGCAGGTGTGTAGATGTCTAGGTGGGTGGGTGTGTAGGTGTCTGCGTGGGTAGGTGTCTGGGTGGGTGTCTGGGTTGGTGTGTAGATGTCTAGGTGGGTGGGTGTCTGGGTGGGTGTCTGGGTGGGTGTGTAGGTGTCTGGGTGGGTGGGTGTCTGGGTGGGTGTGTAGGTGTCTGGGTGGGTGGGTGTCTGGGTGGGTGTGTAGGTGTCTGGATGGATGGGTGGGTGTCTGGATTGGTGGGTGTGTAGGTGTCTGCGTGGGTAGGTGTCTGGGTGGGTGTCTGGGTTGGTGTGTAGGTGTCTAGGTGGGTGGGTGTCTGGGTGGGTGTGTAGGTGTCTGGGTGGGTGGGTGTCTGGGTGGGTGTGTAGGTGTCTGGGTGGGTGTGTAGGTGTCTGGGTGGGTGGGTGTCTGGGTGGGTGTGTAGGTGTCTGGGTGGATGGGTGGGTGTCTGGGTTGGTGGGTGGGTGTCTGGGTGGGTGTGTAGGTGTCTGGGTGAGTGGGTGTCTGGGTGGGTGGGTGTCTGGGTGGGTGTGTGGGTGTCTGGGTGGGTGTGTAGATGTCTAGGTGGGTGGGTGTGTAGGTGTCTGCGTGGGTGGGTGTCTGGGTTGGTGTGTAGGTGTCTGCATGGGTAGGTGTCTGGGTTGATGTGTGAGTGTCTGGGTGGGTGGGTGTCTGGGTGGGTGTGTTGATGTCTAGGTGGGTGGGTGTGTAGGTGTCTGGGTGGATAGGTGTCTGAGCAGGTGTGTAGATGTCTAGGTGGGTGGGTGTGTAGGTGTCTGCTTGGGTAGGTGTCTGGGTGGGTGTCTGGGTTGGTGTGTAGGTGTCTGCGTGGGTAGGTGTCTGGGTTGGTGGGTGGGTGTCTGGGTGGGTGTGTAGATGTCTAGGTGGGTGGGTGTGTAGGTGTCTGCGTGGGTAGGTGTCTGGGTTGGTGTGTAGATGTCTAGGTGGGTGGGTGTCTGGGTGGGTGTCTGGGTGGGTGTGTAGGTGTCTGGGTGGGTGGGTGTCTGGGTGGGTGTGTAGGTGTCTGGGTGGGTGGGTGTCTGGGTGGGTGTGTAGGTGTCTGGATGGATGGGTGGGTGTCTGGATTGGTGGGTGTGTAGGTGTCTGCGTGGGTAGGTGTCTGGGTGGGTGTCTGGGTTGGTGTGTAGGTGTCTAGGTGGGTGGGTGTCTGGGTGGGTGGGTGTCTGGGTGGGTGTGTAGGTGTCTGGGTGGGTGGGTGTCTGGGTGGGTGTGTAGGTGTCTGGGTGGGTGGGTAGGTGTCTGGGTGGGTGGGTGGGTGGGTGTGTAGGTGTCTGGGTGGATGGGTGGGTGTCTGGGTTGGTGGGTGGGTGTCTGGGTGGGTGTGTAGGTGTCTGGGTGGGTGGGTGTCTGGGTGGGTGGGTGTGTGGGTGTCTGGGTGGGTGTGTAGATATCTAGGTGGGTGGGTGTGTAGGTGTCTGCGTGGGTGGGTGTCTGGGTTGGTGTGTAGGTGTCTGCATGGGTAGGTGTCTGGGTTGGTGTGTGAGTGTCTGGGTGGGTGGGTGTCTGGGTGGGTGTGTAGATGTCTAGGTGGGTGGGTGTGTAGGTGTCTGGGTGGGTAGGTGTCTGGGCAGGTGTGTAGATGTCTAGGTGGGTGGGTGTGTAGGTGTCTGCGTGGGTAGGTGTCTGGGTGGGTGTCTGGGTTGGTGTGTAGATGTCTAGGTGGGTGGGTGTCTGGGTGGGTGTCTGGGTGGGTGTGTAGGTGTCTGGGTGGGTGGGTGTCTGGGTGGGTGGGTGGGTGTCTGGGTGGGTGGGTGTCTGGGTGGGTGTGTAGGTGTCTGGATGGATGGGTGGGTGTCTGGATTGGTGGGTGTGTAGGTGTCTGCGTGGGTAGGTGTCTGGGTGGGTGTCTGGGTTGGTGTGTAGGTGTCTAGGTGGGTGGGTGTCTGGGTGGGTGTGTAGGTGTCTGGGTGGGTGGGTGTCTGGGTGGGTGTGTAGGTGTCTGGGTGGGTGTGTAGGTGTCTGGGTGGGTGGGTGTCTGGGTGGGTGTGTAGGTGTCTGGGTGGATGGGTGGGTGTCTGGGTTGGTGGGTGGGTGTCTGGGTGGGTGTGTAGGTGTCTGGGTGAGTGGGTGTCTGGGTGGGTGGGTGTCTGGGTGGGTGTGTGGGTGTCTGGGTGGGTGTGTAGGTGTCTGCATGGGTAGGTGTCTGGGTTGATGTGTGAGTGTCTGGGTGGGTGGGTGTCTGGGTGGGTGTGTTGATGTCTAGGTGGGTGGGTGTGTAGGTGTCTGGGTGGATAGGTGTCTGAGCAGGTGTGTAGATGTCTAGGTGGGTGGGTGTGTAGGTGTCTGCTTGGGTAGGTGTCTGGGTGGGTGTCTGGGTTGGTGTGTAGGTGTCTGCGTGGGTAGGTGTCTGGGTTGGTGGGTGGGTGTCTGGGTGGGTGTGTAGATGTCTAGGTGGGTGGGTGTGTAGGTGTCTGCGTGGGTAGGTGTCTGGGTTGGTGTGTAGATGTCTAGGTGGGTGGGTGTGTAGGTGTCTGGGTGGGTGGGGTGGGTGTCTGGGTTGGTGGGTGGATATCTGGGTGGGTGTGTAGGTGTCTGGGTGGGTGGGTGTCTGGGTGGATGTGTAGGTGTCTGGGTGGGTGGGTGTTCTGGGTGGGTGTGTAGGTGTCTAGGTGGGTGGGTGTGTAGGTGTCTGCGTGGGTAGGTGTCTGGGTGGGTGTGTAGATGCACCTTGAAGCCACTTCACGTGGTGCGTCACGTGCAATCGCGTGCGTGCGTGTGTCACGTGCAATCGTGGCATTGGGATCCAGGGCTTCTCGCAACGATGAGCCGGGGTCGCGCGGTTTAATCCGGCTCTGCAGGTTTCTCCGCTCCACGCCTCCGAGATGTTAACTCCCTTGCCTGGTATGCAGCAGGTCTTGGGTATGAGCCTGACCCTGATGCCTATTGTATATTTCGAGTTGCCTTCTCTTTCACGTGGCCGATGTTCATGTCGAGAGCAACAGCTGTGATTTTACATCGAGGGGGGTTGATGATAGCGGAGTGGTGCGTCGTCGCTGCTATGATGATGATGAAGCGTCCTCCTCCGTGTTTGTGAATCGGTGACATCGAGTGCGCATTCTGCGCTCCGTGGCTCTGCTCTTGGTGGTGACCACAGTCTCGGCACACCGGGACGCTCTGTCGTGGCGCGCTGGTCAGCTCAAGCTCTGCTATCCTCTATATATTAATGTGGTATTTGCCATTGGGAGGTAACCGGAGCAGCCGAATAAAACCCACACACTCTTTCCCATGCCACCGCCACCACCGTCGCCACCACCGTCGCCACCACCGTCGCCACCATCACCGCCGCCACCACCACCACCGCCGCCACCACCGCCGCGGCTGTCTCTTCATCTCAATCTCATCGTCAATCCCGAGACACAGGCCGTGGCGCCCTCCTAGCAAGTGACGCGTTCTGCCCACGCCCGCTTCCAATAACCTCCCCGCTCCCCGCTCCCCGCTCCCCACCCCACATAAATACAACAAAACCACAGTGCCAGCGTGATTATAGTGACTGAACCGTCCCATTACGTTCGAGATAATTAATCTTGACGGGGCCACACATCGCAGCAAAACAAATTAGCGGGGAAGCGTGTGTATGAGAAAAGTGCGTTATCGATGGCGCCGTTCTCCCGCCGCAGGATCATTCGGAGTCTTTGGGGTGTAATTACGACAACAATGACACTAATGAGAATAGCGGAGGCAAAGGCACAGCCCTGCAATTGCGTACTCGCTCCACGGCTGGCAGAAGAGCTTTCTCCCAAAGGGGAAAGCTCTAGAGAGAGAGCCCCCGCCCTCGGCCCTTTTTAGAAGAGAGTCATTTTTGGCCTGTTCTCTCATTTTTCATTTGCTTGTTGCGCGTGCGTGCAACGTAGCCAACCACTTACATGGGATTTGGTCCTCATATATATATCTCTATAAAATTAATGTGCAACGTCGCGGCTGGCTGTCGGCACGAATGACGCCATGTGTTAAAATGAAAGCATCGTCATTGTTATCATTAAATCGGCCGGGCGTCACGGAAGAAGAGGTGGGAGTACCCACACTTTACCCCGCCACGCGGTGACAATGATGATGATTCGGCGGGCGTCGCATGCAGATTGCGGGGGGCACGCGGGAAAATAACCAACCCACCCACCCCCCCACCGCCCCGCCCTCGCTTTTCCAATCCGGTGGGAATAGTTTTGTTTTAATGAGGACCGAAGCGCAGCCCCCGCAATGTCCCCGCCCCGCGTCACCGCTGGCGGAAGGGGCAGCCGCCCGAGGGGAGGCTCAAGAGAGGCGACCCGGTCTATAGCGGGCGTTGGGCCTACCAGGGAAAGGCCTGCCCCAGTCTTTCAGGAGCGGGGGGTGGGGTGGGGGGGGGAGAGCGCTGAGCCACTATTCCGGGGATGTTTTTTTGCCGCGAATTCCGCGAGCGACGGGAGAGTTTTTGATCCGCGTGGGAGGAGGAGGAGGAGGGAGGAGGGAGGAGGGAGGAGGAGCGGCGGGCGGAGCAGGAGGCGGGGGCGAGTGTTTACGCTGCGAGTCGTTTACCGGGCACCGCTCCGCCACAGGTCGCGACACGCCACTTAATGGAGGTCGCGACCTCCTCTCCTTTACCCAGAACTCCCTGCCTGCAATCCCGCAGGTCCGCGCCTCACCAAATCTCATTTTGGGCACTCCGGCTGCTCCCTCCCCGCCCCCTCCCGTCTTGCCGCCTTGCAAATTTTGGCAGCGTCACTGCCCAGAGGAGGAGGTGGCGGTGGTGGTGGTGGTACGCGACGGTGCACCGATGTGTTCTGATTGAACGATCTAAATCGACTTGTTGTCCGTGTGCGCGTGCGTGGCGTGTCCGTCATTTGCTCTTCCTATTTATATCCGTGGTGAAGTATGGTCAAAGGACCACACCCCCCTCCCACTCCATGATGACCTGCTTGGCATGGGGGAAGTCTCGGTTCGGCATGGGAGTGGCACAGTCCTGTGTGTTTGGCTGTGGCGTTAAAACCCTTGGACGTAACACGGAGGCCCCCTAGCAAGCACCGTTAGCGAGCGCCTATTAAAGCCGGCAACGGCACACAAGGCGGAGCGGCGTGGCCAGCCGGGGGCGACCTTTGTCTCTCCGTGGTCCGACATTTACACAATGCACCAGGTGCTTGTTTTTTGTTTTTTTTTAAAGCTGAGCCGACCTTGGGGGATGCCCAGGACAGGTTTAGATTTCCGCCACCGATGTTTGTAGCCGTGAGCGGGAATCGAACCCGCGGGTCGCTGTGCTCGTCGCGCAGGGCGCTCAAACCATTGCGCCACCACTCCCCAATGCATACATGCAAAGGCAAAGATCCCACACACCCCGTATAGCCTGAACAGATTTTTTGGGACGAGTGCTTTGAGCGAGCACCTATGAAGGCGGCTCCCGTAAACGAAGGGGGTGGGTGGCCAGCACCACGCCCGGTCGCCTTTGTCTCCCTAGTGGCGATGTTCACGCATCGCACCAGGTACAGATTTTGAGGCCGAGTCGACCTGGGGGGAGGGCCCGGAACCGGTTCAGATGATCGTCACCGCTGTTGACCGTGAGCGGGAATCGCAGCCGAGCTCGTAGCGCAGTGCGCTGACCGGCACCCCTTCCGCGGCGCCAACGACACGCAACATCCACACGGACGCGCACACGCGTTGACATGCGCGCGGTGCAAATGTGGCCCGTGCCCAGGGTGCGACACGCGGCTCGGCTCGCCCGCGCAAACGGGGGCAGCTCGGCTTACCTGCAGCCGGTTAACCGGGGCGGCGTGCCGGAGTCCCCAAACCGTGCGCCTCCGTGATGGAGGCCGAACGCGCCACCGGCTGAGCCACATTTTTCCCACCCCATGAGTGCGTCTCTCCACCCCCCTCCTCTGTTTTCATCTCCCCCTGCTCCCTACAGGTCGGGCACTTGAGGCTGGCCTAATGGACGTGAGACCCCCCCCCAATATGCAAGCGGCGTCATCGCTCTCTCTGAAGAGGGACCCCCCCCGCCCCCGCTGGGTTGAAAGGACGTCCACCGATTAAAATCCACGGTGGCTCAGAAGTCAGCGTCGCCGAGCCAGCCCCGTTGACAAGCCTGGGTTCGAGTCCCGGGTTTCGGTCATCCGCGAATAAACCGGGAGCTGGGGCTGAGTGAGTTGATGGTCTCAGCCCGGCACACCACAAATGACTGCATCAACAACAACACAACAAACACCATCGCATTCAATTTGGTTTTGCATTGACTTTGTCTACATTCCAGCTGTTGAGAAGTTAATTAACTGTCTGGCTGTCACCCGATGAACCTCGCTGTCACGTGGCAGAACTGGGTTGGGGAAAGTGCTGCCCTCTGCTGCGTGTGGACCATAAATCACTTGAAGAAGGCATCTCGGAGGTAGCTCTGTGACATCCGCTTCCCCGGGTCGCTCGCGGGTAATACGAAAGGGTCGCGCTGCTCTGCGGAATTTCCTAATGGATTCTCCGTCTTGTAATGACGATGCAACACCGATAGCGCGATCTTTAATAAAACGGGGGGGGGGGGGGGGGGGGGGGCGGGGGTTTGTGGGGGAAGACGACAAAAAATAAAAAAATATATAACGAAAACAAAATCCACAGAAGTCTTTATTTCGTAAATCTGCATTCACCACTACGAGTCTCCAAGACAAAAAGTAAAAATGTGAGAAAATGTATTTGAAAATAAAATGTCACTAACTCCTTCCCCGTGGGTGTCGAGGAGGTAGTCATACCCTGGCTCGCCAGGAGAAGGCAGTGCAGCAACAATGTGGACGCCACCTGCTCCGTCGGTGTGGAATATCGAGCGTTGCGCCCTCGCACGCGTGGGGTTTCTCATGCACGTGTGGTGGACTTTGGCCCCTCGTTCAGTGTTGGTGATGTCAGGGAGAGTCGTACGGCTGTCACGTTAGGCGTTTAGTTGGTGGCGCTGCTGCATTTGGCAAGGAGGGGTGCACAAGCACAATCGGCAACACAACTTTGTTTACGTGCCATGAAGAAGGGCGCTTGCCTGAAACGTCGCCAGTTTCCTCTTGAGGCCGCTCGGTGTTATTGCCGTTCACGTCAGATGCAGGCTTCCACGCACTAAGCACGTTCTGCAATTGTACACCGGGGTCTGAGCAGAGGAGAGCGATGTTCACACCCGGATGTCTCTTCCTTTCCCCCCCCTCGAACCGTTAGTTTGAGAAGGAAATGACTTCGAGTAGAAATGTCACCCCGGCCAATTGATGTACAATCGCTTTGTCACGGTGTGGCCGGATCCCCCCTCACATCTATTAAACTACTTTTTTTATTTTACCAGATAAGGCCCCACCGAGCTACATTGCCCTGTTTTTTATTACTAGAAACGACCTGGCCATAAATGAAGGCTCAACGAAGTGGCTTACCATCATGTGGACATTTATAGCAGCAGGCAAATACTCGAAACGGATTTTGTTGATTCTAAATGTGGGAGGAAGAACCGGAGGACCCGGAAAAAAAAAATCCCACACGACCACGGGGAGAGCGAGAGACACGCAAACTCCAAATATACAGCAGGCGTCGTCAGGGTCGGGATCGAACCCACGACCTCATGTATACCAGTCGAGGTAGTTAACATCTCATAGCCACCGTTGCATCCAGCGAAATGTCTCCCATACGCTTGCCCATCGCAGCGACTGCCAGCAGAGTTGAACGCGGCGTGACCGCGAGCTTGGGGCCGATTTTAATGAAGAATCATTCACCTCCACACAGCAGGCCCCTGGTGGGGGCGAGGGGGCAGGGAGCGAGGGGGGAGGGGCATTTGGGGGCATAAAAGCGCCGTTCCGCTGACCACGATTTGCTTGGCGGGGGACGCAGAGGCAAAGGTCCCCCGTGTAGCCTTTCACGGACCGTTGGGGGCAAGTGCTGTTAGCGAGCATCTACAAAGGCCGGAGCGGCACGGGAAGGGTTGTGGGTGGTGAAGCGCCGAGCCCGCCCGCCTTTGTCTCCCCAGTGGCGCTGTTTTACCCACCGCACCAGATACTCATTTGAGGCCGGGCCTCCCCTAGGTCGACTCAGCGCACAAAGACAAAGATCCCCGCCCCCGTGTGGCCTTTCGCAGACTCTTGGCGCGCGCACCGCACCGCACCAGGTACTCATTTGTACGGGGGAGTGGCTGGGCCTCCCCTAGGTCGACTCGGCACGAACACGCGCGCGCTGGCCGAGCGGCGTACTCGGCGCGTCGAGCCGCATGGAGGTGGCCCTGAGTTTTTTTCGCGAGTCGGAGGCGCTCGCACGTGGTCGTCACGTGATCGCCACGCTGCGCCCTGCCATGCTCCCGCCTGTCCAGCTCGACACCTCCTTCCTGTCAGCTGCCACTCTCCTTGCGTCTTCGTGTCGGTGTCGTTCCTTCGTTCGGTTGAGTCGTCCTGCGTCTGCGCCTCTCCCGCTGCTCTTGATCCACTCTGGTCGTCATCCTCTTGGTCGTCACCGTATCGTTCATCTTCTGTCAGTTGTTATCCTCTTGCCCATGCGCCACCGCATTAAAGCGTCCTTCATCTCGTCTGCCAATCATCATTATCTCCTTACCTGTCCTCATCGCCATCTTATAATCAACATCATCAAATCACACCCTTCATAACACTGTACGATTACAGTATAATCGTAAATCTCGAAAAACTACTCACTTCTAAATCTGTTGTAGTCATTCTTGTGTTACTTGAGTATAAATACATGTTCATTTTTATCCATTTCTTGTTTTTTTACTGACTTTATAGACACAAATTCGCCAGTTTTCTCATTGAAAAAAGGTACATTTCAAAATATCAATGTCCTGGTCACAAAAGCAATGTTTATGGGGGAATAATAGCCATAATAGCCACTTTTTAGGCTTAAGCTATTACGAAATAACACTACCAAAGGAACACAAATTGTGTTACTTCGTGATAATCATCGCCATCCTAAAAAAAACCCTCTGCCTCCTCCTATCCCTCCCTCCACTCCCTCGCGTGAATGCATCCCAGACTTGCGCTCTGAATAGGCCGTTGCACGCGGATTACGATTTATTAAATCTGCGGGGGGAGGGGGTTGGGATTGCTTAGGGTTTCTCGAGTACTGAGAATATATCTTTTATTATCTGACTTTGTAGCTGACCGACTTTTAAGTGGAAATCCCCCAAAAGAGAAAGGGGATTTTTTTTGACCTCTCGCAGAATCAGAATATTTACATAGGACAGCAGGAGGGAATCCCGATGAGCTACAAAGCTCCTGTTTTCACAGATGTCCAGTAGGGGCACGGGGTCAGAAAGTTACAACAACAAACAAAACAACAACACGGTAGGAGTGAATAGTATATGAAAGGGAAAATAATCCCTAAAACAACTAAAACTAAACTGTTTTTTTTCATTATTTTACCAGGTAAAGCCCGCTGAGCGATTCGCTTCTCTCTCAGAAGCGACCTCGGCACAAATGATGGCTCAACGAAGTGGCTCGTCATCATCGTGTGGAAATTGATAGCAACCAAATACTATCAATAATCTAAATGCATGCCTCTAAAATGTGGAGGGAAAACTAAATCCATGCGATCACTGGGAAAGAGACGCAAACTCCAAATATACAGCAGGCGCCAGGGTCAGTGATAGAACCCTCTACCTCCTGCACACCAGGCGAAGTAATATCACATCACACCACCGTATCGCCAACAGCGACCTCAGTTGGATTCCCAGCCGAGGCTAGCTTATCTTCCCTACAATTCGCTCCGTGCGGTTTGAATTCACTCAACGTGCGACTATGCGGTCGGACGTGGGACACCGTTGTGCGTCGACTGTACTGTGTCTAGGGTGTGTGTACCGTGCGTGTACTGTGTACTGTGTGTGTACCACTGTGTGTACTGTGTACTGTGTGTGTACCACTGTGTGTACTGTGTGCACGGTCTATGTACTGTGTGTGTACTGTGTGCACTGTGTGTGTACTGTGTGTGTACCACTGTGTGTACTGTGTGTGTACTGTGTGTGTACTGTGTGTACCGTGTGTGTACTGTGTGCACGGTCTATCTACTATGTGTGTACCGTGTGTGTACTGTGTATGTACTGTGTGTACCGTGCGTGTACTGTGTGTACTGTGTGCACGGTCTATGTACTGTGTGTACTGTGTGTACCGTGTGTGTACCGTGCATGTACTGTGTACTGTGTGTGTACCACTGTGTGTACTGTGTGCACGGTCTATGTACTGTGTGTGTACTGTATGTACCGTGTATGTACTGTGTGTACCATGCGTATACCGTGTCTAGGGTGTGTGTACCGTGTGTGTACTGTGTATGTACTGTGTGTGTATTGTGTGTCCTGCGTGTACCGTGTGTGTACTGTGTGTGTACTGCGTGTACCGTGTGTGTACTGTGTGTACCGTGTGTGTACTGTGTGTACCGTGTGTGTACCGTGTGTGTACTGTGTGTGTGTATTGTGTGTCCTGCGTGTACCGTGTGTGTACTGTGTGTGTACTGTGTGTACTGTGTGTATATTGTGTGTCCTGCGTGTACCGTGTGTGTACTGTGTGTGTACTGTGTGTATATTGTGTGTCCTGCGTGTACCGTGTGTGTACTGTGTGTGTACCGTGTGTACTGTGTGTGTACTGTGTGTGTACCGTGTGTGTACTGTGTGTACCGTGTGTGTACTGTGTGTGTACTGTGTGTGTACTGTGTGTACCGTGTGTGTACTGTGTGCACGGTGTGTGTACTGTGTGTGTACTGTGTGTACTATGTGTGTAACGTGTGTGTACTGTGTGTACTATGTGTTTACTGTGTGTACTGTGTGTACTATGTGTTTACTGTGTGTGTACTGCGTGTACTGTGTGTGTACTGTGTGTGTACCGTGTGTGTACTGTGTGTACTATGTGTGTGTACTGTGTGTACTATGTGTGTAACGTGTGTGTACTATGTGTTTACTGTGTATGTACTGTGTGTACTGTGTGTGTACTGTGTGTACTATGTGTGTAACGTGTGTGTACTGTGTGTACTATGTGTTTACTGTGTATGTACTGTGTGTGTATTGTGTGTGTACTGTGTGTGTACTGTGTGTACCGTTTGTGTACTGTGTGCACGGTGTGTGTACCGTGTGTGTACTGTGTGTACTATGTGTGTAACGTGTGTGTGCTATGTGTGTACTGTGTGTACTGTGTGTACTATGTGTTTACTGTGTATGTACTGTGTATGTACTGTGTGTGTACTGTGTGTACTATGTGTTTACTGTGTATGTACTGTGTGTGTACTGTGTGTACTATGTGTGTACTGTGTATGTACTGTGTGTACTGTGTGTGTACTGTGTGTACTATGTGTTTACTGTGTATGTAATGTGTCCGCTCCTCGGCAGGCAGCTGTTTCGCACGGTGCATTGTGGGCCGGGTGAATGCTGTGCGCTCGATGTCTACGCGATTTAGATTTGTGCGTCCTTTTATTTTATTTTTAGAACATCTTTACATCTTCCGTGTAAAGCGAGGGGCAACCCCACCCCCCCCTGTAATTCATATAATCGTTGTTTGATTTGACAACGTAGACAATCGTGTTCATATGCAGTC